GAGGATGTGGCAGGTATGAGTATTGATACATGCAGACTTGGGGTTGTGGGACTGGGTGTGCCTGTACTGAGGTATTTCGTTTCACTCACTTATAGTGTTTTCTTTCACTCAAATACTGTTTTACGCATTTTAATGACTGAAACTGTAGTGACTCAAAGGTCATACTGGCCGGGCATTCAACATATCTACCCCAACTACATACGTAGCCATTTTTATGGTGTACAATTCTTCTTCTACCTCACACACACACACACACACACACACACACACACACACACACACACACACACACACACACACACACACACACACAAATTTTTAACCTGTATATTTAAGACTAAAAGTATATTTAACAAAACGGATATTCCGTCACTTTAGAAATAGTTATCAATAAACATTTATCTGTTCATTGACCTCTTTATGCTGTAGGCATATAGGTACTTCCCACATGAACGGATGATGTGTATGTTTATTAATGTAACAGGTTTAGATGTATTGTCTATCTTATGTACAAACTACTAATTTGTTACTATCTTTTTCAGGAATCATGGCCTCCTTTATGAAGAGAAAACGCTGTGAAGACTGTGGAAACTCTTTTTCCTCTTCTTCTAATTACAAGCGACACAAAGGCACTTGTCCGAGTACAGAACCTGAACCTGCATCTCAAGACAGCTCTGACGATGATGAAGAGGTATACTTTGATGAAGATGAGATTGACGATCTGCTTCAGAGTTTTCAACCGAGAAAACCTCAGCAAGCTGAATCCTCTCAACCTGCCTCACCGGAAGTGAAACCATTTTTTAAGGCACTCATCTTATGGACATGTTTCTTCCTCTGCATTTGGCAGTCTGTATTTTATATTTCCTCAAATGCCATCGCATTCCTTCTGAAATACCTTCATGCCCTTCTCGCCGTTGCCGCTCAGCATTACAAGTTCCTTGCTGTTGTAGTACCGATGTTCCCAAGTACTATTTTCCTGCTCAAGAAATTACTCAGAATTGACGACAATAACTTTTTCCACTATGTTGTATGCCCAGCATGCTGTAGCATATATAGATATTCTGACTGTATTTCTGTTTTCGAAGGAGAAGAAGTCAGTATGACTTGTTCAAACGTCTCCCAACCTAATCACCCAATGAGACATTATCGCCAGCCTTGTGGTGCACAACTGTTACAAAGTATGACCCTTTCCTCTGGCAAGAAGAAGCTTGTACCACATAAGAACTATTATTTTAAATCTCTGAAAGATTCACTTTTTAACTTTTTGTCAAGACCAGGTTTTGAGGAGAAATGTGAACAATGGCGTGACAGGGTCGTTAGTGATGGTACTTTGCATGACGTGTATGATGGTCGTATCTGGAAGAGCTTCAGTGGGACATATTTGAAGAAGAAGAGAAACTATGGCCTTATGCTTAATTTAGACTGGTTTCAGCCATTCAAACACGTCAAATACTCTGTAGGTGTAATGTATTTAGTCATCCTCAATCTACCTCGAGAAGAACGTTACAAACGTGAGAATGTTATCATTGTTGGTATTATACCGCACATGAAGAAAGAACCCCCTACAAACAGTTTTGTACAACCTTTAGTTGATGAGCTTCTTGAAGCATGGACAGTAGGTTTTTCATTCAACTCTAAGATATTTCGCTTGGCCTTAATGTGCATTGGATGTGATATCCCTGCTTGCCGAAAGTTATGTGGCTTTCTTGGACATGCAGCCGTCAAAGGGTGTTCTCGGTGCAAGAAGTCTTTTCCTGGTGAGTTCGGCAAAAGAGACTACAGTGGTTTTGACAGAACTCAGTGGATACCTCGCACCCATGAAAAGCATATACGAGAAATTAGACACATCACAAGTGCCAGAACCAAGACAGATAGAGAAGCACTTGCGAGTTCGTATGGAACAAGATACTCCGTCTTGTCTGAGCTGCCATACCTTGATCTGATCAAAATGTCTGTTGTGGACCCTATGCACAATTTGTTTCTGGGGACATCAAAACATATGTTGCATGTATGGAGAGACACTGGTGTACTAACTGACAAGAACTTAGACACTATCCAAGCAAAGGTGGATGCAGTTAACTGTCCAAGTGACATTGGTCGCATCCCACATAAGATTTCCTCCGGTTTTGCAGGGTTTAGTGCAGACCAGTTTAAAAACTGGACGTTACTGTTTTCTGTGTATGCACTGAAGGATGTTATTTCTGATGATCATTTAGAATGTTGGCGAAATTTTGTATTGGCCTGTAGATATTTGTGTTGCCGAGTATTAACTGAAAATGACATAAAAATGGCAGATTTATTACTGATGCGCTTCTGTGAGAATTTTGAGCGATTATATGGCCGTGACAGAGTTACCCCTAACATGCACTTGCATGGTCATCTGATTGAGTGTGTTCAGGACTTTGGACCCATTTACTCGTTTTGGCTGTTCAGTTTTGAACGGTTTAATGGTATGCTGGGCGACTACACAACTAACAAGAAAAGCGTAGAACTGCAGCTGATGAGACGATTCGTAAGCCATTCACATCTCCTTGGATTGGTCTTAGATGACGAGTTTCACTTTGGAGACACCCTTGAGCCGATCATCGCCACTGTTACAGCTAACATTAAAGTGGGTACTCTTGGCAAGATTAATTCAAGTGAATGCTTGCAGCTCCGACAGATGTCATCCCGACTTCATCACATTGAAAACCTTCAGTGGACTGACATTGACAGGTTCATTTTTTCAAAATATAAAGTCCGTGGCCTCACTGAAAATGATGAACACTCCCTTCAAGAAATGTACAGAGCCCTCTATGGCGAAACAGTCGAGACTTTGCCGGCCGTTAGGGAAATAAAAACTCTATACCTTGGATCAGAAGTCTTTGGATCTGCCAAGTCTCAAAGTGTGAGATCTTCTTACATCACTGCTTACTGGACAGACGGGGACGGGAAAATTGGTTGGGGGGTTTCTCCGAGACCTGGAAAGGTATTGAGATACCTTCAGCACTCAGCAAGAGTTGACGGCATAGAGAAGAGACACATCCTTGCAGAAGTTCAATGGTATCGGGAACTTGATGATAAACTAAAAAACCATTGTGGCCGACCAGTGGAAGCCTGGCACTCTTCCATGTATGTTGACTCTGGTCCATCTTCGTTTATGCCCATTCAACGAATTAAGGGTAAATTCGTCAAAATTGAGGGACAAATAGGTACCAGGACAGTTACATTTGTGTCACCAAGGGACAGATTTGTGTGTGTGTAATTTATTGGTTTATTGTTGTATAGTTTTGCTTTAAATAGAAATTTTAATTGTACATTCTATATTTTAGTTCTTGTATGTGTATTATTGTAGATATAATTGTATACATGTATGATCATTACCCAGTGATGTGCCCAAGTGTTATTTATTGTACATATACCTTGAACTATGACATGATATCCTGAATATAAATTCACGTTCATCCTGTGTTTTGTATTTTTGTTATTTCTGCATGGCTTGGTGAAATGTAAGATTTGGAATGAACACCTCGACAGCAGTTTAGTTATAATGCTATCAATTTATGGATTAGTTCTGAGAAACAGAGAGAGAAACAGCCATATATAACAGGGTACCAATCCGGTGTTCAATCGCATCGCCATGTCTGATAAAGGTATATTCGATTTGTAAAATAGCACTAGTAAAACCACGATGCCTCTCTTGTGGTGGTGTACATCCTGTGATAAATTTCAAATCATTTATGGTGCTAAGTTCATATTACAAAATATTTGAACAAAGCGCAACAACAAACTGAGAACCAGAAGAAGCACCAGTAGAAACATAATTCTTAATTTATTGAGGCTTACATCTTTTATGTGAGCTTGTTAAACAACCAAGAGAAATTCACTGTACTACGCTATATACAAATTAAATAAAAAATCTACCCTCAGTGACCTTTATTTTGCATCTTTGAAATAAAATCATGATGTGTTGCGATATCTAAATATTTCCAAAATATATGATGGCCATAAGTATGATACACTTATGTAACGTATTACAGATGAAATGTTTTCATCGACAAATGAGCTTGGTGACATGAAATCAAATATGTAGACATATAAGTCCACCATGTTCCGTTATACAAGCCTACGAACTGAAAGAAGCGGCAATAAAACCATGATGTGTTGCCTTATCCAACACATCCTAACATTTGAAAAGTATCTAATGGGGTATTTTATGAAAGCATTCGTTTGAAGCTTTAAGCCAAAGATGCACTTGAAAGAGTGCATTACCGACGTAATAATAATCTCAAGTGCACTCAAGTTGAAGAAGCGGCAGTAAATTCTTGATGTGTTGCACCGTCAAATACATTTATAAACAGTATTATGTATTCAACTAAAGCGTTGGGATAGAATATTGCAGCAAATCCACTTTGGAAACGATCTGAACAGCTTAACCAGCAGACAGAAGAAGCAGACATAAAATCACCTATGTATTCAAACATTTCCAAACAAATCCAAACAAATCCAAACATTTCCAAACATTTCCAAGCTTGGAAATATGACCTTTCCAAATTTTGGAATGGTCATATTTCCAATTGGAATGACGGTATTTCCAAGTTTTGGAAATGTTGGAATGGATGATATTTTGTCCAGTGTTAGCTGTAGGATAGTGGAACATGTGGAACATTTGTTTTTTTTGTTGTTTTACGCCGCACTGAGCAATATTCCAGCTATATGACGGCGGCCTGTATATAATCGAGTCTGGACCAGACAATCCAGTGATTGACATCAAGAGCATCGATTCACGCAAATGGGATCTATGACATTCATCAACCAAGTCAGCGAGCTTGACCGACCGATCCCGTTAGTCGCCTCTTACGAGAAGCATAGTCACCTTTTACGGCAAGCATGCATATGGGTTGCTGAAGACCTATTCTACCCCGGATCTTCACGGGTCGTGAATATAGATACAAATATCTAAACTGATATCTAACTAAAGTGATACCTGATCATATGTTTCATCATTTCCATCTTTTCAGATCCTAACACATGGACAAAAGAAGTATTTCTGATATTATCCCGAACACTGACACGCAACTGGAAAGTATTTATGCGGAACTTACCAGGTACATTGATTCTGGCATCTTGGAATTAAGTTAATTACCGGATATTTTTTGGGTCAGTGCTTCAAAATATATTACCATGTCTTCCGAACATTAAATTCAACAGTAAACCCTCATGTAGAAGTTTTTACCAGCATTTTGTGGAACAATCAGACGTATTTTGAAAAAAAATCTCAGACACGTGGTATCCCAAATGCATTACGTTCTGTCTTTAGATCATTTGTATAATTACCTCTGAAATGGTTTCAGGAGATACTGACTTCAATGCTAGTGTTCACTACAAGTGCGAGCAGGTGGAACTGGATGTACAAGGTGTCCCTGAGCAGGTGTATCAAGTCCTGCAGTGGTGGTCGGAGTCCCAGTATGGACCAGCAGTTTCAGTGGACAGCATCCTCTATACACTTCACAAAATTGGCGACTGTGAGGATATACAGAAGGGAATCATACATAAATGTTCAAAACTCGCTAGAAGTAAACCCAAGAAGAAGCCCAGCAATATCGACAAAAATGACGTCATGGTAGAAAGTGGGACAATAATGACGTCATAGCAGACAGTGGCTCGACAATAATGACACCGTAGCAGACAAAGGGGCAATAATGACGTCATAGCAGAAAATGGGACACTAATGACGTCATAACAGAGAGTGGGTCGACAATATTGATACCATAGCAGACAAAGGGGCAATACTGACGTCTCAGCAGAAAGTGGGACACTAATGACGTCATAGCAGAGAGTGGGTCGACAATAATGACGTCATTGCATTCAATCAGATCGGAGTAACATCGCCAACAAACCATTAGGAGAGAAAGTGGTTACATACCTGTATTGTCCTGCTGCTAATAACATGACATGCATAGGGTGTATTCCAGAGATATCCATTTGATTTGTTCCACACATGGGTGTCAATAGTTCTGGATAGACGGCAGATATTCTGTTAAACAGAAACTGTGTGTACAGTTTGACTTGAACATATATCGATGGCATAGTGACGTGCCATTTTAGCTGTATTATGATGACAGGCGTGTTTGGTCGCCTACAGACAGTGGTCAGGTGTCCTTGACGCTCGAGTGTTTGCGCTCCTAAAGGAGAATATTTTGCACGTCCTAAAGGTTCTACTACACCAAATCAGTACCAGTTTGGAGAGTGCGGTTTTCGTAGCCTTCAGTGCAGATCGAGAGATATCTGCAGGCTGTGATTGGAGGATATTCTGTAAGATTTTTATGTCTTTCAAATGTACATCCATCCAGTTATTAAAACTGTCCATGTTTTTCTATATTTTTCAACATGATGACTTATGCTGAATGTGACCACAGCTATTTTCAAGTAGGTGACATTTGGTGCGAAACTGGGGGTGGTGTGTTTAGCTTCCGGTACTCGGAAAAGGAGCTGGCTAAGCTAGTCATTTTTATTTTTTTTATTGCTGCTCTAAGGCCAAACTGTGCACACACGTACAGGTAATAGCTGTTGAATGCTTAGTTATTTTAAAAAAAAATCATAACGTTACTATAGAAGTCTATGGGAAAACATTTGGTTGTGTGTAACCTGTATGAGCACTTGGGTTATTAAAGATAAAATAATAAGCCTGCTTTTGTTGCTGATGCTTTGTCAAAACAGCTAAAGGGTCCCCAAGAAGCTGATAAAATGGTCATATGAATATTCATGTACCGTATTCGACGTAATAAGCGCCCAGGGCGGTCTAAAAATTAGAAATAGGGGGCTCTTATCAGAATATTATTTTGGTGGAGTTGAAAGATAAATTTCGTGGTTTATGCTGACGGCCTGACTGTTTATATACGACAGATATATTTTTCCAGAATTTAATTGCCCATAGTTAAGGGTGCATATAACACACGAGTGCGTATTATACACGAATAAATAAGTCTTGCGTACATTGATCAATCGGAAGAGGTGCTAATTGGGATTGTTCACTAGCCAATACATTAGCGAATATCGCCGTGGGCGCTTATTAGAGCGGCGCGCTTATTACGTCGAATACGGTAATGTAGTATGTTACAAGACCGAAGAGAGCACAAAGGAACGCCGTTTTATTATTTAAAATGGCCTATTTTAGGCTTTTGTTATATATTTGGAATACATGTATTCCATACATATTGTGTAGTAAGTCTTTGTAAAATGTATATGTGCACCTATAAATGCATTTCTGATTTTGAAAAAGCTGACTTGTTATTGTTTTGACAGAGTAATGAGCACATTGAGAAATTTTCCCACTTTGGCGGCCATCTTGGACGCCATTTTGGATTTCGGGGTGACCGCAGTAAATTTTTACGAGCACACCAAGAAATAATGTTAGGTAATGGTTTAAGCAGGCTAAAAAACATGGTGAACTTAGTTTGTAAGATGGGTACAATGGCACCCAAAATCTAAGCATGCTATGGGAATCAGACCTTCGATTATTGAAAGGAACATAACGTATATACATATTTTACTCCATCAGGTAAATAAATGCTATTGCAGACGTTCTAATTTCCACCAGCGTCAATAGTAGCCGTTCAGACGTTCAGCCATTCTTCACACTTTCCTCTCCTGATAAGATATTTTAAGTAAAATATATTCTAAAATGTTTGCACGTGAAAAAGAAGAATAGTGTTTCAACTGGAACACGGACATCGGACAAGGAACTTTACCGCTCTGCCATCAAGAAGTGCGTGATGGGTGTTGTAGGACAATTTATGGTTTAAGTAAGTGGTTTCTGAGACTAGTTTATATGTCCGTTTCAGTTACTTGTACCCGCCTTTTATTTATATCGTACTTGGTGTATCGGCCAATACACCTACACCGTTCGTAAAAGTTTCCCGGCTGACGGCTCCAAAGTACCGGTAAAACACCGGGTGTTTGGTTGATGCACACAGTATTGTATGCATGGGAGTAGTACATTGTGCACAGCCAGTCGTCATCATTAGGATATCGCGCAGAACATGCAACCTTTATTAAAACACACATTCGCCAAATTATCACAACAACAGAGAGGCGTGAAAAGTTGTTACTTAATTTGGGTGTGCGTGCGTGAGTGCGTGCGCCCCTACGTCCGTCAGCGCAAACCAATCCATGTACACATACCCATACATACTTACTGGTTTTTTTAGTTTCAGTGGCAACACAGTAGAGAGGACACCGGTCGTTTCTAGTTTTATAAAGCAATTTTAATTCTGACGAATACATTTCTAACAAGACTGTGTACTTCTCTTGGGTCAATGGAAAGCCAGTGAATGGCGTCTTCCCGAGGCCAGGACGTAAACTGACTATAAAAGTCCAATTTCCACCCTTGCCGAAAGAGGCCGGAACTTCCAGGCTATGATCGTTGCGCCAACAGTGGACCTTCTATGTTCCACCTATTGACCAATCAGATTCCATCTCTCATATTACTTGCATTTGCTTCAAACAAAATTGCGGCGCCCAGTCAAGATGATTGCTCGATAGTCAAGATCTGTATTGTAATACAACGGGTCTTAATCAAATCACGTAAGCATCTTGTTTAAAAACATAAAGCAATTTGAAGAATGTCTGTCGACGCCCAGTTGGCGGTACACATGCTTTGCAAACCCTTTAGTCGACTGAAATCTGCACGTTGTTTACGAACTGAATGTTTAGTTCGTTACGCGATTTTGATTGGACCATGGGCGGATAGAACTTTTTTGAAAAGCGGGGAGTGCAAAATTAAGATCTATTTATTGTCTTTGGTGGTAATTTATACAGAAATAAAGATTTGTTTTCGAAATAAAAAAAAAAGGGGAGGGGGATGCGCACCCCCGCACCCCCCTCTGTATCAGCCCATGTGGACTATGCATATACTCGTTAGTCCGGCAAAAACTCCATAATTGCAGCTTAGTTCGGCAAGGATGGAAACTGGACTTTTACAGTCAATTGACTCCCTTGCTTCGGGAAGATGGTAAATGGGGGTTATTCGTATATTTGTGGGGCGTTTCCTTGAGTGATCTGATGAAAATCTATTATTACTGTCAATAAGTGTTACTTTCAGCAGGCACCAAAAAACAAAACCTGTGCAACGTACAATGTGGATACAATGTGGATACAATGTTGATGCAATGTGGATACAATGTGGATGCAATGTGGATGCAATGTGGATGCATACTGCCTACTTCCAACGTAGTTTATGGAACAGTTGAAGATACGAGATATAGTGAGGAATGAAATGTCTTGTTTTACATGTATTCTGATTTCTTTTCTCTCCCATGTTTTTAGAGTTTGATCTTAATCGGGACCCAAGGGCTAAGCAAAGTGTTGGGTTAACGTACCCCTACCCTTATTCAACTAACCCTAACTACGGAAGAGGCACGTCAGATCAGAGGCAGTCAGATCAGACACCCTCCAGCTGGAGCCAGTTAGCCCGAGCAGCCCCTGGTAAACTGGACCCGTGAAGATCCGGGGTAGAATGGGTCTTCGGCAACCCAGGCTTGCCGTAAAAGGTGACTATGCTTGTCGTAAAAGGCGACCAACGGGATCGGTTTGTCAGGCTCGCTGACTTGGTTGATGCATGTCATCGATCGCAATTGCGTGGATCGATGCTCATGATATTAATCAGTGACACTGGATTGTGTGGTCCAGAGTCGATTATATACAGACCGCCGTCATATAGCTGGAATATTGCTGAGTGTGGCGTTAAACAACAAACTAACCAACCAACCTGGTAAACTGCAGTCTTGACATATTATCTACCAGCTCATGCACTTTGTGTTTCGTAAGAGGGAAGTTCCTACATCGCGCAGCTCGTGTCACACAGAACGTTAAAAAAACGTATCAAGTCGCATGTATTTTGTTTCTTTGAGAAACAGCGTGTCGTTCCCAATGATAACCTGCAACATTCTTCCAGTTCCATCGCGGGCGGTGTGCGCGAATGGATATTGTATTCAGTTTATGGAAACTGTGTGGTTCGAAATTTTGGGTTCGATCACACTTGGAGCATTTTGTAAATATTTAAAAAAAAAAAATGTTTATCAAAAGCACACCTTCCCTGTATTCAGGTCACCCGAGGCTGAATGATAATTTAAGTCGCACATATCCACAATCATCATATCGTACGGTGGCCCATAAGGGACATTGAGTCTGTTTTTCAATATTTTGATGTTTAACCTACTTTTATCTTAACTTTTGCAAATTAACACAATCTGCCATACAAATATGTGATAAATCATGTATAAAAACATCCGAAAACATAGAAAATGTACTTTTAAGTAGCTTTTGAGTCGCTGAAATGTGAAGTGAAAATGTCAAAAACCAAAACGAAAAGGTAAAAAAATAAAATGAAAATGTCAAAGACACAAAACGAAAAGGTAAAAAACTAAAATGAATACACAGAAAACTATTTCCACCGCGGTGAAAACTATTTCCACCGCGGTGATAATATTTACACCGAGGTGAAAACTATTTCCACCGCGGTGATAATATTTACACCCCGGTGGAAATAGTTTTCTGTATTTTCATTTTAGTTTTTGACATTTTCGTTTTGTGTTTTTGACATTTTCGTTTTAGTTTTTGACATTTTCGTTTCGTTTTTCAGCGATTCAATATCTTCTTTACACATGATTTATCACATATTTGTAAGACAAATCGTGTTAATTTGCAAAAGGTTACGATAACAGTAAGTGAAATATCAAAATATTGAAAAACAGACTCCGTGTCCCTTATGGGCCACCGTAATATCGTCATAATTAATAGACAGTGTATTTGTGTTTGTACTGTTACCGAGACAGCGCATGTTTCCACCCCGAGACAGCGAATGTTTCTACCCCGAGACAGCGCATGTTTCTACCCCGAGACAGCGAATGTTTCTACCCCGAGACAGCACATGTTTCTACCCCGAGACAGCGCATGTTTCTACCCCGAGACAGCGCATGTTTCTACCCCGAGACAGCGAATGTTTCTACCCCGAGACAGCACATGTTTCTACCCCGAGACAGCGCATGTTTCTACCCCGAGACAGCGCATGTTTCCACCCCGAGACAGCACATGTTTCTACCCCGAGACAGCGCATGTTTCCACCCCGAGACAGCACATGTTTCTACCCCGAGACAGCGCATGTTTCTACCCCGAGACAGCGCATGTTTCCACCCCGAGACAGCGCATGTTTCCACCCCGAGACAGCGCATGTTTCCACCCCGAGACAGCGAATGTTTCTACCCCGAGACAACGCATGTTTCCTCACCGAGACAGCGCATGTTTCCACCCCGAGACAGCGCATGTTTCTTCCCCGAGACAGCGCATGTTTCCACCCCGAGACAGCGCATGTTTCTTCCCCGAGACAGCGCATGTTTCCACCCCGATACAGCGCATGTTTCTACCCCGAGACAGCGCATGTTTCTACCCCGAGACAGCGCATGTTTCCACCCCGAGACAGCGCATGTTTCCACCCCGAGACAGCGCATGTTTCCACCCCGAGACAGCGCATGTTTCTACCCCGAGACAGCGCATGTTTCCACCCCGAGACAGCGCATGTTTCTACCCATACTGGAACAAAGCAACTATGCTTGTCGTAATTGTATTACCTATTTCGGGTTATTTTATCAAAATATTTGTACAATGTCGGTCACGGAAGTAAACAAGAATCTCCGCGCTCAACTGCGTCGAGTAATCTGATTGGTAAATATCACCATGTGTGTTTGTTATGGCTGGAGCGCACACTAATCAAAGCGCTAGACGCCATTGAGCGGTCTGTAAATATAATCGAGTCTGGACCACACAATCCAGTGTTTGACATCATGCGCATCCACCTACGCTATTGATATACGATGACATGCAATAACCAAGTCACTGAACCTGACGACCCGATCCCGTTAGTCGCCTCTTTCGACAAGCAAAGTCGCCTTTTACGGCAAGCATGGGTTGCTGAAGACCTATTCTACCCCGGATCTTCACGGGCAGTGACCATTAGAGAACGCGGTATGGGACGAGGTTGCTGAAGAACCCGGGATCTTCACGGGACAACCGTAGTATGAATCAGATTGACGTAAGTGAGTGAGTAGGTGAGCTTGGTATAAGGCTGTATTCCAGTTATATCACACCTTATCAGCTTAATGTGGGAGGAAAGCCCGATGTGATGCAGGTCTCATATTTACCTCTTTGGTGAAACCCACGAGCACGGGTATCGTGACCTAGCAACATAATCGGGGCGAACCGGAATTCAAACCAACAATCACAGGATTTTGTCGTGCCCAAGGGACGCAACTCTACACAGCGAATTGTGGCGCCTTATATCACTGGGCAGCCCGTGCCCTACTGTTTGTTGACCTACCACCTCAACCATCTTGTTCAGTTGAACCAGGTTCTCCGTGTTAACGTTCCTGCTCTAGGCAGTGGTCCTTATGGGCATCAAATGCACACCTGCGTGTCAATGTATAATCCCTCGTCTGTAGTGAAAAGAACTTGACGTGTCCTGAGCAATATTTAATGCAAGACAAATCATGCCTAAAGTTAGTCTGATAAGCTTTACTGAGAACATCAAACATGTCCAACATGGTAATGGTAGATTTGATGATGATATATTGCAATGATAAGAAATACCCTGAAGATTTTTTTTAAACTTGGATTACAGTTGAAACAGTTCACAAACTGAGTGCAGTCAGGATAAAAGTAGGCTATTACCTGAAACCGATTGAATGAAATGTAAAGAAAGTTGTTTACACGAAGACTCGGAGTTTTTTTTGTCGCATGTCGACTTCAATTCACCTGCATCCGCATTTGATATTATAGTGTGGTTCTTAAAGGGGAAGTGTACACGCAAAAATCACTTTCTTTCTTTTTCTAAACAAAACGCAATTTTAGAATTAATTAGTATCTGTGTTTGAAAATATACACTCATTTTTTTCACAGTGAAAGTAGGAAGCTCACAATAGTGTGAAAATGATATACCGTTATGAGGCCTTCGTTTTTCGAGCTAAACATGCCTGAGTTATCCCCCTTAGATTATGACGTAATTGGTGCCAATTCAACTGGGTCCCTGTCTATTCTCAACGCAAAAGATATCAAGTACCAGTTTGCGGTAAAACAACATGGCCTACGACACACTCCGGCGCAGTGGTGACTCAGCATAACACTATGCTGGCTGGCATCTGAGACGCTAGAATCACACAACTAGACCTACACCACGTGAAGCGGCTCTAACAAAGCATGATGACGTCATAATGTTTATCAATTGGCACCAATGACGTCATATTGCAAGGGGCATAAGCCATGGTGTTTTTGTTGGGGAAATAGAACACTTGGTAAATGTGAAAAATATAAATCGTTTTAATGCGAAAAATATGTTAATTAATTGTGATATTTTTATATTTTTGTCTATGACACTTCTAGGTTAACACTTTTAATGTGGAAAAAGTACAAGAAAAATAGGTTAATTTCCGTGTGAACTTGCCCTTTAACGATTATGAATATTTTACAACCACACTTCTCTTTCTACAAAGTTTTCAAAGAGCACCAAACGCCTCTCGCTCAAAAGTTGTGTGATCGAGTTACAACATTCAAGGACTCAGTAAAGCTTTCAAAAAGGTTTTATGGTAGACACACTATTATCACATCTCTAACCATTTTATGGGAAACGAATCCAAGTCATCAGCATGACATGTTCCAACTTCGCCTATTGCTAATGCCGGTGTATAATCAACGCGACTATTGTGAGTGCATGTGTGTATGAGTGTATGAGTGAGATACAATTTAAATCCCTTCAGGTGTACTTCAGCCACATTGTGACAATGTGACGAATATTGGAGAGTCACCCAAATGGATAGGAATGGTAGGATTGATGTCGTCATGTTGAAAACTTGACCTGAAAAGAAAGTGGTAGTTACATGCACTTCCATCGAGTGACATCATAGTTGATAAGCCCATATATGTTTGTACATGTGTACATCTACCACATACATGTTGATACATGTGTACATCTACCACATACATGTTGATACATGTCTACATAACCACATACATGTTGATACATGTCTACATCTACCACATGCACGTTGATACATGTGTACATCTACCACAAACATGTTGATACATGTGTACATCTACCACAAACATGTTGATACATGTGTACATAACCACATACATGTTGATACATGTGTACATAACCACATACATGTTGATACATGTGTACATCTACCACATACATGTTGATACATGTGTACATCTACCATATACATGTTGATACATGTGTACATCTACCACAAACATGTTGATACATGTGTACATAACCACATACATGTTGATACATGTGTACATAACCACATACATGTTGATACATGTGTACATCTACCACATACATGTTGATACATGTGTACATCTACCACATACATGTTGATACATGTGTACATCTACCATATACATGTTGATACATGTGTAGATCTACCACAAACATGTTGATACATGTGTACATAACCACATACATGTTGATACATGTGTACATAACCACATACATGTTGATACATGTGTACATAACCACATACATGTTGATACATGTGTACATCTACCACATACATGTTGATACATGTGTACATCTACCATATACATGTTGATACATGTGTACATCTACCACAAACATGTTGATACATGTGTACATAACCACATACATGTTGATACATGTGTACATAACCACATACATGTTGATACATGTGTACATCTACCACATACATGTTGATACATGTGTACATCTACCACATACATGTTGATACATGTGTACATCTACCATATACATGTTGATACATGTGTACATCTACCACAAACATGTTGATACATGTGTACATAACCACATACATGTTGATACATGTGTACATAACCACATACATGTTGATACATGTGTACATCTACCACATACATGTTGATACACGTGTACATCTACCACATACATGTTGAAACATGTGTACATAACCAAACACATGTTGACACATGTGTACATCTACCACATACACGTTGATACATGTGTACATCTACCACAAACATGTTGATACATGTGTACATCTACCACATACACGTTGATACATGTGTACATCTACCACAAACATGTTGATGCATGTGTACATAACCACATACATGTTGATACATGTGTACATAACCACATACATGTTGATACATGTGTACATAACCAAACACATGTTGATACATGTGTACATAACCACATACATGTTGATACATGTGTAGATCTACCACATACATGTTGATACATGTCTACATAACCAAACACATGTTGATACATGTGTACATCTACCACATACATGTTGATACATGTGTACATCTACCACATACATGTTGATACACGTGTACATCTACCACATACATGTTGATACATGTGTACATAACCACATACATGTTGATACATGTGTACATAACCACATACATGTTGATACATGTGTACATCTACCACATACATGTTGATACATGTGTACATCTACCATATACATGTTGATACATGTGTACATCTACCACAAACATGTTGATACATGTGTACATAACCACATACATGTTGATACATGTGTACATAACCACATACATGTTGATACATGTGTACATCTACCACATACATGTTGATACATGTGTACATCTACCACATACATGTTGATACATGTGTACATCTACAACATACATGTTGATACAATGGAATAAAGAAAAATATATTGAAATAAACTCAGCATGTGAAGTAGATATTGCTGAATTCTACAGGATTGTAAAGAAACAAAGACAATCTAAGACTGTAAATACACACCTCAAGTACAAAGAATGCTGTTGCAATACACCATCAGAGATGTGCAACTTGTGGGCAGACTACTATGCAGATTTATTATCACCTCTCGACCGGCCGGAGTTTGACAACGACTTTCGTGTTGAGACGGACTCTAGAATAAACAACATCTCAAAGATACCACTTCTGGACGATGATCCTATACTGAAGAGAGACATAGAAATACACGAACTAAAACGACTGAAACAAAGCTTAAAAATGAGAAAGTCACCAGGACCGGACCAAATCACAAATGAACATATCTATTTCGCTGGAGATATGCTTCTAAAACACTTAACTCAACTGTTTAACATGATGATACGAACATGCTACAGCCCTGCACTGTTGAGATCTGGAACAATTATTCCAATATATAAAGGAAACAATAAGGACAGATCGGATCCTGCAAATTACAGAGGTATCACTCTGACGTCAGTGGTGGGAAAACTGTTCGAAAAGATCCTATTAGAGAGAATTGAGAGACATATCAAATATATGGAGCCCGACTTCCCACATAGATTACAATGTGGCTTCAGGCGAGAACACGGTGCAAACATAGCTACCTACATACTCAAAGAAGTCATATATTTCTATACGGAAAGGTCTTCCAACGTATACACGGTGTTTCTTGATAATGAGAAAGCGTTTGATCGCATCTGGCACAATGGACTACTCCTAAAATTATTCATCCTTGGTGTGCAAGGGAAAGCCTGGCATATCATACGTCAGTCGTATCACGAATCTACTGCATGTGTCAAATATGCCGGTGAGACAAGTCGAACGTTCCCAATCGGACAAGGTGTAGGACAAGGACGTGTCTTATCCGCCTGGATGTTCCTTGTGTATATTAACGAGCTTATAATCCGCCTTGACCATTTGAAACAAGGTGTTATGCTTGGACGTGATCACTTCCAGGTTGTCCTACTCGCGGATGACACAACTCTCATAAGCTCAACAAGTAGTGGCATATGCATGTCCTTACAGACTGTACATCAATATGCTTGCCAATGGAGATTGACATATAGTGCAAGAAAAAGCTGTGTTCTGGTGTTTAAAGGTGGAAACAAAATCAACCAACCAGGTTCTTTTAGACTAGGTAACCATATACTGGAAATGAAATCGAACACAATATATGCAGGTTCTATTATCAGTACTCATTTAGAATCCGAAAGGACCAGGAGAGCTTGCGCTAAGGCGAGGAAGAATTTGAATTCCCTGAGAGATATTGGTCTAAGAGCAGGTGGTCTGAACCCAGTCTGCTGTATGAACATATGGCGTAGAGTAATAATTCCAGGTGCCTTCTACGCGTGTGAACTGTGGTCAAATATGTCCAAGACAGAACACAATGAAATTGAAAAACTCCAGCGCTACTTTGCACGTAATGTACAAAATTTTCATGTAAGATCTTCGACCGTTGCAACTATTCAAACGCTGGGATTGTGGACAATGACATCCGAGATTGACAAAATGAAGCTGATGTTCCTTGGGAGGATGTGTAGAAGCAGCCACAGATATGCCCCGAAAAAGGTGTTCTATTTCAAGTGTGCTCAATATATAACAGGCAGTGACAAAAGTAAGTCTGTAACACATGATCTACTCAATGTGGCAAAGAAATATGAATTATGGACCATAATAGTTCACTTTATGAAAACTAACCAGTTTCCATCCAAGGATGTGTGGAACAAAACCGTACAGACTAAAATAACAGAACATGAAACTGCTCATTGGCACACGAGTCTGCGAGATCACCCTGAATTAAACAGATTTATTAAAATTCACAGTAAGCTTGTACCTCATAGACTGTGGAATATGTGTATTCTGTACAATATACCAACTAGACCAATGTATGCACTTGTGAAACTGGGAACACTACCAATAACACCTGGACAGTGTTTAATGTGTGATGAGGAGTGCGATGACATAATAAAGCACCAACTGCTATGTTGTACAGCTTTAGATGATGCAAGGAACACCCTCTATGAACATCTATTTGACTCTTTAAACCTCGAACAATACATGCGTATTGAGGACTGTGCAGATGACGAAGTCAAACTTGTGACATTGCTAGGTGGTATAACCCCTATTGTAGAGGATATGAGCCTTGACAGATGGGCTGAATTCATATCTTCTGTATCACGAGACATAAGCTCCTGGAACCTGCGATCACTGCTCTATCTATAGACAGTATATCTCATACCAGGACCAGGACATGTAAATATTCAGTATTGCCAATTTCTCTGCAAAATATAATGTTCGTGTAAATATGCTGGGTTAACATGATTCCAAATGTATATCACTCTCCGAAATTAATGGAGGAAATAAAGATCATTCATTCATTCATGTTGATACATGTGTACATAACCAAACACATGTTGATACATGTGTACATCTACCATATACATGTTGATACATGTGTACATCTACCACATACATGTTGATACATGTGTACATAACCACATACATGTTGATACATGTCTACATAACCACATACATGTTGATACATGTGTACATAACCAAATACATGTTGATACATGTGTACATCTACCACATACATGTTGATACATGTGTACATCTACCACATACATGTTGATACATGTGTACATCTACCACATACATGTTGATACATGTGTACATCTACCACATACATGTTGATACATGTGTACATCTACCACATACATGTTGATACATGTGTACATCTACCACATACATGTTGATACATGTGTACATAACCAAACACATGTTGATACATGTCTACATAACCACATACATGTTGATACATGTGTACATAACCAAATACATGTTGATACACGTGTACATCTACCACATACATGTTGATACATGTGTACATAACCACATACATGTTGATACATGTGTACATAACCACATACATGTTGATACATGTGTACATAACCAAACTCATGTTGATAAATGTGTACATCTCCCACATACATGTTGATACATGTGTACATAACCACATACATGTTGATACATGTCTACATAACCAAACATATGATGATACATGTCTACATCTACCACATACATGTTGATACATGTGTACATCAACCACATATATGTTGATACATGTTTAACATACCTATTTCTAATAACCATCATGTCTTGTATTGTATTGCTGTATTTTGGGTATGGTATCATTATACTTGTGCAATAATTCTATAGCCATGTCCAAAGCCATTTTACTGTCCTTTGCCTCCTTAATATAGGGTACACCCCTTGTCCAGCTGTTACGATAGCTGGACACCTTGTGGTAGTTGTTGTCCAGTATCACGTGAGGGATGCCCAGCAGGGTGGACAGGATGTGTCCGTGTAGGCGGTCAGTGATGACCACTCGTCCTCGCTGCAGGAACAACATGCCGTTGGTGGCAATGTGAAAGGCATACTCCATGGCAGGAGATTTTGGGGTCGGCCAACTCAGCCAATCTGCCACATGATAGGATAGCTGATGGGGAATATATGGCATTTGGTATTTGGTGCTCTCATCATCACTCCGCCTCATCCACAAAATGTCAAATGTTGGGCTCACGAATCTCTCCACACTACCTATCTCAAAAGCCATGTCTGGAACAAGTAAAAGCCGTGGTTTTGTTAAGACTTTGCGAACTCTGTCTAATGACATCCTGTCCCGAATGGTGATGGTCAAATGTGGATGACTGTTATAAACATTTGCATAGTGTCTCGTTTTTATTTCAGGGTATCGCATCCAAACACTCTGAGGGAATAGTACTACCTTGTGTTCTTTAAACCTATTCAGAACCTTTTCTCTGATAATGTCCAACCCTTCATACGAGAATATGTTTCCCCCACCCTGAAGTAGAACGACTGTCTGGTTTCGAGGATATCCCTTTGCGATTCCATATGATCTTTCAATGTTTGATGTTGAACATTTACTGGTCATACAATAGTAAAGAAGTTCGATTCCCATTCGTCTCAAAAAATAAATCTCTCCTGTAGCAATGGCAGGATCTCCTTTGTTCTCATAATCAGCCAGGTCAAACAACAGGGCGTACTTGGCACCACCGAAGAGATCGCTGAATACATTTAAATGGATCCGTTTTGCTTCTTCTATGACATCATAATGAGTGGGTAAAAGGGGAGACAAGAGGTCGGTTGAGTTAGGATGATTCAGTAGACGCAGTTTCCGAAAGGCATCGATATCTATGGAAGCATGCTCTTCAATCTTCTTTATGATGTTAGAGTCTAGTTCTTTTCTTGTTGTCCGTGAGTTGGTGTCTATTGGTTGGTTTTGGTGGATGTTTGAAATGACTGAAAAAACACGTCCTGTGTTATGGGCCATGTAGAGGTTTGTACCAACAGTCATCACAGACAATGTCACCAGAGCTGCTCCCAGGACTGTAATTCTCCAAAATCTCGAACCTGATGAAAACCGAATTATGATAACGAATTATTACTTTTACAACAGCATGAATTTTGTTGATGGCGTCCTATTATCCAACTTGATAGAAATTAAACATGCAAAACCATAATTATTGTTAAGAATTGACTGTGACCTTTTCGAGATAAATGGCATTTCAAAACAAACGATAGTATTACAACGCACTATTGAGGATATAATGTGGAGACAATAATCACAGGACACATATGCCTAACTGGGTAACTCAACCCTGTGTGTCATTTTGGGTAGCATTCTGTGGGGAACCTTGGTCAGAAGAGGCCCCTTAGTTTCTCATTCTCGTAATATTGACTAAAGTGGGGATTGGGTGTTGAGCGTATGAGACTCGGATGACCGGTGTCAGCGTACCCCAATGGAGCTGTTCTCTGCTCATGTTTGTAGTCACTGGTTGTCTGGGACCACTTGCACAAAGCGATCTTAGCGCTACGACTATTGTAAGCCTATGCTAAAGTATGGGAGTTACGCTCATTTTAGCGCTAAGATCGCTTTGTGCAAATGGGCCCTGGTCTTGACTGCAGCGTTACATTTACTCACTCACATCTGGGACCGAAACAAGGACATAACACTGACTGAGTAAGGATAAGAAATTTATGGATGGACAACTTCTTTATTACAATTAAGAACGACGTTTCGGTGTAGGTTCTAACACCGTTATCAAGCACTTGCTACACCGAAACGTCGCTCTTAATTAATTAAACGTCGCTCTTAATTGTAATAAAGAAGTTGTCCATCCATAATTTTTTTATCCTTCCTCAGTACTCCAACTTCTAAATGCCTATCAAACAAATAACACTGACTGTTCTTGACTAACCCGTCATGGAGAAGTTGACCTTTGGCGTTGCTATATTGAACATAGTTATGATAGACTCATTCATTCTTATTGAAAGGAGAAGATCCATCTTTTCGCACCCATTTGCAATAGTCTCATTGTGTGTTGATGTTTCACATATCAAACAACGCTTTTTAAATCATGATAATGTTCACAACTTATAGACACTGTTCTCAAAAGGAAGCGTTTCTAACGATCTGATTTTAACATACAGAAACTTTCAGGTATATCAAACTCAAAGGGATCATAGATATATAATTCGTCACAACCGGAGTTCGTTATAAGCATTTCCACTGTCAGACATCTTGAATCAAGTCACGGAAGGTCAAGCGATTCATGAGAGCGGAAGGTCCAGGGTTCTATCCCCGGCCGCGTCATACCAAAAGACGTTAAAAGATGGTACTTGTTGTTACCCTGTCTGGCGCTTGGCATTGAGGGGCTAAAACAAGGACTGGTCGGCTCAGAGTCAGTATACTGTGTCTGAGTGGAGTATTCATGTTAAACTGCGGCATGGTATCTCAGTGTGCAAGCACTTTAAATCGACATCAGTCCGGACTAGTACAAGCAGACACACACACACACGCTCGTGCATGCACGACCTTATATAAGTGCAATACTCTTGGACGCGACGTTACACCCCATTTCACCACACCTACTTTAGTTTACATATGGTAAGAGTGGAGACTTCTCGCCACGAAAAGCTGAAAGATTGCTGATTCGGCATTAATCAACAGTCACATACTCGCTCACTTTTAGGGTAATAACTATGACACATAATCTCACCTGGCTCTCTTACTCCGCCAATAATCGTTGACATATGCAGTTGAGTTTTCTGTAATGTATAGATGATCAGACCAATGAAGGATAGCAGTAGGCCGGATATGTTCTCAATGTTCAGAACCCCTTTCCCAGCTATACACAGCAATACTACGACACACACCCGCTTGAAGATGTTGAGGAGAGCATGGGTGACAACAGACAGTGTTTTGAGCACCAGGGCTACTGATAGGTAGGAGTACAATACATGGAAGATGGCGGATATTAGGGATAAAATGTACAAAGGTGCAACGTCCAAGCCATTGGGTGTCTTCGCCAATATGACTAATCCTACCAAAGCCACAGCGTTCACAGAGAGAATAGATTGAACAGAACGTGGAACAATCTGCATCTTCACATCGAAGAGTTTCTTCATGGCAATATTTCTGAACGCCAGTGCCAGATTAGAAACCAGAGCCCAGATTAAACCTCGAGACAAGATGGCGTCTTGAAATGGATTTCCCGTGAAGATGACGGCTCCGGTGACGATGATGGGGAGGCTGAGAACTGTTGACACTGAAGGGGTAACAGCAAACACAACCCACTGAACAAGAGCGCTTGTGACTGGTTCCAGCATCTTAATGGCAAAGGTTGAGGAAGCGCGAATCAGAGACATGCTGTAATTGGTGGAAAGTGTAGCGACCACGTGGCTTACACCACATATAAGTTTAAAATGTTTCAAGTTTCCCTTTTGGTGGATGCTTTCATGGTTGTCTTCTGCTGTAATCTCCAGACACGAGACACAAAATAACAACTGGCAAAATGATATGATACACACTCCTGTAAGAGTCGGCCCGCTTTGGATCAAAAACTCTTTTGCAATATGATGACACAAAAAGGAGGTAATAGTCCACAGAGAAAACGCTGTGCTGATTAACACACACTGGTTGATCAAAATCTGCCAAAGAGAAACATGTCATTTTATAATTATCTTTCAGTACTACAACAATAATATACTACCATCAGCATTTCACACATCAAAAAGCAAAATTCAGTTTGTGTAGATCTTTTTTGTCTGCAAGGAAAACAAGTATATATTATGGGAAGATTAACAATTTGCAATTATGGAATACGAACGCGTTATACCTACAGGTGACAAACATGCTTGTATATGCAAATTGAATAAGTGGTGGGTGCTACCGGTATGGTAGAACATGCTTACCCTTTTCGCGAACACCTAGTGTCATCACTGAATGAGTGAGTGAGTTAAAATTTAACGTCGCATCGGCATCATTTGAGCCATATAGCGACGAGCCCAAGTTTATTTATTCACAAGTGAGTCATTAATGTCAAGTAATTCAAAACAGATTTCATCAAACACATGTGGGCATAACATTCTCAAATATGCAGTTTAAAACACGGGCTGTAGGCCACCAAAAACCAAAGTTAGGCCACCTCGCTGTATTGTGGGTGGAAAACACAGTTGTATGCTGGATTTGATTTTTCATCTCATTCAGCCAATAAGGATGCAATAGTACAGTTAATAAGCGAACCTCCTGTTGACGCGCTATTTTAAACACATGGCGAACAATCAAATACACGTGTAAGTTGTGAATAAGAGGCTTTTGTTCAAGGCTGCTTTGAACAGTATATCAGTTACCGTATTCGACGTAATAAGCGCCCCAGGCGATATTTACTGATATATTACCTAGTGAACAATCCCAATTAGCACCCCTTCTGATTGATCAATGTATACAAGACTTATTTATTCGTGTATAATACGCACTCGTGTGTTATATGCACCCTTAATTATGGGCAATTAAGTTCTGGAAAATATATCTGTCGTGTATGATACGCACATACTTTTCTTTTGTATCATTTCAGGCTGTCAGCATAAACCACGAAATTTACGATCTTTCAACTCACCAAAACAAAATTCTCACCAAAATTATATTCTAATAAGGGCCCCCTATTTCTAATTTTGAGAACGCCTCGGGCGCTTATTACGTCGAATACGGTAGTTCAGGTCATCTTGATGTGGGAGGAAAGGTCTTAGTCGTATGTGAGTTAGGAACGGATGGTTACACCAACACGAGAGCAAGTAATGAACTGCATGATTTCTTCAGGCCGATCTGTTTTCTATATTAAACCTGAATGTCCTGTGTTTGTTTGGTTGCTTGTTGTATAACACCATACTCAGCAATATTACAACGTTATGACGGCGGCCTCTATATAATCGAGTCTGAACCAGATATTCCAGTGATCGATATTGTGAGCAACGATTCTGACCATCAGGTCCATGTGGTCATCTCTTACACCCAGCATCCACACAGGATGCTAGGGAGCTTTTTTAGCCCTGACTCCATTCCCGACGGGGCACTGCCTCGTGACGTATTGTATGCCAATTATGATGCCGTAATCTTTTATCATGATTTATCATCCAAAACTGGCTCCCACAGGAGACATCGCTTGGGTGGGATCAAGCGATATCTACACTGTATATATCGCTGCAATGAAATTGCATCACAATGCTTTGCAGGCCATTATGACGTCATTGGTTACCCCCCCCCCCCCCCCCCCCCCAAACACCTAAATAACCTGGACAGGAAATACTGCTGATAGCCTCTGGTCAACTCAGCCGCGCTACCGCAGAATGTTCGTCCAACTCCGCATGGGGCATTCAAACACACTGAAATGTTTTCGCCTTGCATCAAAGATGGTGGACAAGTGAAATCGTATGAAATTTGGCTATTATAGGTCGCTGTCTCTTTTTTGATTACCCAATAAAGTCACTTCAACATTCAATTTCCGATACCAGTAAATGAATAAGTGTGTTTAACGCTACAATTAGTCAAAGACCAACGTTGTCTGGTTTGATGACACACAATCTACCAGGTAGCACATTGTGTACACCCTATCCCCATTTAAGACTCCACTGTGCGTATTCCTGGTGACAAAAAGGCATCATGTACCTAGGAATCTCATTAAAACATTCATGCACGGCATTCTCTACCTCTAGAAGATTATATAGTTAACATGCTTATCCAAGTCGAACTATCATGCCGCTCAAAAATCCAGCAGACACACACACACACACACACACACACACACACACACACACACACACACAACGGACCTAAATAACCTGGACAGGAAATACTGCTGATAGCCTCTGGTCAACTCAGCCGCGTTACCGCAGAATGTTCGTCCAACTCTGCATGGGGCATTCGCAGTGGCTTCAAACGCCCTGAAATGTTTTCGCCTTGCCCCCAAGATGGTGGACAAGTGAAATCGTATGATATTTGGGCTATTTTACGTCGCGATCTCTTTTTTGATTACCCAATAAAGTCAATAAAGTTGTAGTTATTATGGCACTGTTTTATTTCTTTAAAAATATATTACGTGTTCATGAATAACAATTGAGATGAACATTCAATTTCCGATACAAGTAAATGAATAAGTGTGTCTTACGCCACAATCAGTCAAGGACCAACGTTGTCTGGTTTGATGACATTATGTACACCATATCCCCATTTAAATCTCCACTGTGCGTATTCCTTGGGACGAAAAGGCCCCATGTACCTGGGAATCTCATTAATACATTCATGCGCGGCATTCTTTACATTAAGAAGATCATAGTTAACATGCTTATCTAACTCGAACAACCATCCCGCCCAAGATGAATTTTGATTTACCAATCCCTGAAATGAAAAGACGTGCGTTACGAAGTCGTTACCAAGTCGTCATCAATATCCGTAAATGTCTGTGATATTATTACCCATCCAAAGCCGAATATATTTATTGTGCTTTCTTGACGACAAATGTCATAATTGGGATAACATTTTTTTAGTAAAGTACAGATTCTCGTACTTTTTTGGGTTGACTCCCGTCCGGGGTTTGAGCCCACACTGTGAGTGAGGCACCCAATCGCCAGGAAACAAGTCAGCGATCTAATCCATTCTCAGTAAACTACATATTCTCGTAATATTTAAGGTTGAGATAGTGGACGTTGATGGACAAATTAAAGCCAAAACCTAACTTATGAATGATCGGTAATGGGCAATGGACAATGGGCAAACGGGAGGCCGGGGTAATCAGCGCTAATTATCTGTTGGCTTCCCTTGTTACGTTTCCTTCATTGCTATCTTTTTACTTTTGTTGTTCTTACAGGTACTTGTATATGTTCTCTGCCTCATAGCATTTATTCACCCGATGAAGGGGTGAGTTTATACACCGAAACGTTGTGTTCCTCATAATAAAGACGTTGACATTCATATTTTTTTCCTTATGTGTATCACTTCTTAATGGCCTTCAAAGACTCAATCTAGCTTTGTTTTTTAAATGTGGAGATATTTGCTTAGAATATAATATGGTCATGCCTATAAACATTTTATAGCTGATGACATTGCTTAATCTGCAGGAATGCAGTACACGTTATAGCAAGCTGTGATCTTTATTCACACTTTAGATATTCGAAATGGAGATCTGTATGTTTATCGTAATCTTCCGCAACTCTCACCTCCTGACCAGTTGAACTTCTTAGTGCATTCTGATGCCATTGGAAAATTCCAGGCTGCCCTTCTTTCTGTGATGTTTTGACGAATGAAATCTTTTGCGTTATGATAATCTCTGTTTGCTGATATACAATATGTACATATTGTAAAATATTTGAATGCAAGCAATGTAAACATAAGTGCGGATGCACGAAGGCGGTTATAGTCATAGTTATAGTGCGATGTATATAGGGGAATAGTAGGAGGGTGTATTTATGTAAGCACGAATACCGATACATGACGGCGGATATAGTTATTGTTCGATGGATGTTGGGGAATGGTGGGAGGATGGATTATGTATGTAAGCATGCGCATGGATCCATGATGGCTAACGTAGACATAATGGTGGGGAAAGAACAATGCGATGTGTGTGTGCGTGCGTGCGTGCGTGCGTGCGTGCGTGCGTGCGTTGTTGTTGGCGAACATGTTGTGAAATGATTGTGTAAGTAAGTTAAGTGGGTGAGGATGTGGCAGGTATGAGTATTGATACATGCAGACTTGGGGTTGGGGGACATGGCGTGCCTGTTCTGATGTCTTTTGTTTCACTCACTTGTAGTGTTTTCTTTTACTCAAAAAAATGTGTTACTGATTTTAATGACTGAATATGTAGTGTCTCAAAGGTCATACTGACCGGGCATTCTACATATCTATGCGAACTACGTAGTCATTTTTATGCTGTACAATTCTTCTTCACACACACACACACACACACACACACACACACACACACACACACACACACACACACACACACACACACACACACACACACACACACACACACACACACACACACACACACACACACACACACACACACACACATGAGGTTTCACATTTGTAAAATTATCTCTCTTATCTGTCTGCACCATCAACTTGACTGCCCTCAGCCCCTGCAGTTTTCCCATCCCATATTGCCAAGCAGGTCACCCACAAGGAGGAATACGGCCCTCCTTCAGTCCAGCTATACTGTGCCCAGCACAATATGTTGTGAATACGTAGCCTTGCTGTGGCAAACATTTTGTAACAATTTGGCAACAGAAAATATAATTCAGTTTTATTTCAACAAAAACGGAAAAAATCGGATCCTGCTTATTTTGTGGATACCATAAAAATAAATCAAACCAATGGATCGTTTGAGCTAGCATGAATATAAAAAAGTAATTAGCAAGTCGATAGTCATAAGTCCCTCTGTTGGTCCCAAGTGAAATGTTCTTCATATATACTGTAAATCATGAAATTAATGCAATCATGCGAGTATAGAACCCTGGCCTAAAATGCGTCATGACATTTATGAAGGTAGCCTTGCAAAATCACTGTGGAGTCACAATTCAATAATGTAGTATTGGCTGATAGACGTTCGACCGAAAATATCATTTGCTAACTTCAACTGTTCATCTAATTT